CAAAAAAACAGCAACCCATATCTCAAACAACAATTCACAATATAAATACTACATATCCTCAATTTCACATTAAATTTTAAAAATGTACCTATTTATTAATGAATATACATATTTATACAAATAAATAAATAACAAGTTTGTAAATTACACCACACCAAAAACATACATATTGTACACTGCACTGACAGCCACTTATCACCAAACACAACATGGATATCGTGGTGTTTGTTGGTGTTTGTTGTTGGTGTTGCTTTCTTATGAGTTGAATTTTTCTTTTCATTTTAATCTCTTTTTTTGGTGTGTGTGTGTGTGTGTGCGTGTATGTGAGGTTATTTTCAAATTCCTAATATCCATTCATCTATCTATCATGTTAAACTATTCACGAGATAATAATACTAATAACACTGGGTAGGAAAGACTATTGTATTTATTTCAACGGGACTTCTTGTTAAATATATATCCCATTAAGATAGATAGATACATAGATGATACCTACCATCACTTAGTACATATACTGAAATGAGTCGGAATAAACAAAACAGATAACGGTGATATGATTCGTGAACTTGGATGACAAAGCTAATTAGTTATAAATAGGATGCGGGATATGATTCTAGTTTATGAGTTTGGTTAATCAAAACAAAAAAAAACATTTAAATATCTTTGTAATGTAGAGTATTTAAACAAAAAATGAATATACACCATCTACTACTATCTTATCCATAAAAGTAATATCTATTATTTTAATTTTCCCTTTTTTGTTTGTGTGTACATATATATTCATATTATTTTATTTTAAAAAAATTCTTTTTAGAAAGTTTTTTATGAATTTTAAAAAAAATTAAACAATTAAAAATGACAATTCTGACTATTGTAAATATGATCGCTAATGTACTACAATTGCAGTAACTACTTGCTAGACAGAAGCAAAATATTAATCTAAGTAAAAAGTTCTCTATGTGGATAGATAGATAGATAGATAGATAGATAGATAGATAGATAGATAGATAGATAGATAGATAGATAGATAGATAGATAGATAGATAGATAGATAGATAGATAGATAGATAGATAGATAGATAGATAGATAGATAGATAGATAGATAGATAGATAGATAGATAGATAGATAGATAGATAGATAGATAGATAGATAGATAGATAGATAGATAGATAGATAGATAGATAGATAGATAGATAGATAGATAGATAGATAGATAGATAAATAGATTAAGTAAATAAATTTATGATCCGTGCCAGGTGAGACTCTGTTACGCTCTTCACTAGGTACGCTTGAAGCTATTACGAGTTCACCTTAGTCGATAAACGAGAACGAGACAATTACCAGCGTCCAGATAGGCTACCTTGAATCTCAAACTGTAAAACAGAATTCTTTGTAAGCGTAGAAAGTATATTCTACAAACACCCAGCAATCACAATGCAATCAAGCACACAACTCTCGTTTATTTATGCATCATAGAAACGTCGTTGTGACAGTTACGAAAATAACACACCAAAATACACAGCAGCCAATCACAACCACGGATTTTCCTGGTGGGAAATGAAATCTCAAGGTCAACTGATCAGCGGATGCTCGCAAACGTGAAATCCAAAATAAGGTATTGATCAAGCGAGTTCTGAGGATCCAATTTCCCCGACATACTCTCACAGCTCATTATCTACAACCTTCAGAGTAATGAATGATACCTGACCTGTTTTTCATACTAGTACAATTAAAAATATTACCACAGAGCTGTGGTGCGCGCTACTTATAAGTAGTATATGACGCGAGTGTAAACGTAATGTCTGACAGCAGAAGATGGGGGAAGATAAAGAAAGGAAGAGTGGGAACACAATGGAATTTGTATGAAACGCATGAATAGTGAGTGAAATGTCAGACAATGGATTGATGATTGATTGAAGATTTGCAAATTAACCGTTTAAGATATGGTTTTCGTTAAATACACTTCGGTTGCCCTCACCTATGTTCTCCTTCACTACAAGAGCCACTCAAGCAGTAAGTGGTTTTTACTGCTTACTGAACTTAAATGTTTAAAACTAATCAGTCATTGGACAATGAATTTATCAATAATATTCAAATTAAAAATCTGTATTTATATAAACCTACTTGAATTATGATCAATTGAAGCATGATTTTGATTCAATTGTTGATGATAATAATAATAATAATGATTTGCTGCATAGAACAATGACAATGGATCAGTATTATTCAATGTTTCAATAGTTTTCAAATTATTTGTTTTGTCGGAATTATTCGCTGAATAATAGAAATGATTCATGATTGATTGAAAATCAATCATGGAGTCATTTTTCGCAAGATTATGATTATTATTAGTATCGTTTTTTATAGTTTTATCATGATTTATTACATGTTGTTGACTGTCAGCTCGTTGACCATTTGAAAAATAAGATATTGTATGTTTTGATGTTTTCTGTATTGTACTAGGCATGCTATGATTATTAGTTTGAGTATAAATAATACTGGTATTATTATTATTACTATTATTAGTATGATTATTATTATTATTATTGTGATTCTGACCAGCTGTTAATAATGGCAAGTGATTAGAGCTCAATGTCTCATTATTGTATTGAATATGATGCGACAAATTATGATTAGGTGATAAATTTAATTGATTAGGATTCAATGAAAACTGTTCACAGTCGTGATTTGATTGTACTTTGAAATGATTCTTATTAGTAGTATTAGTAGTAGCATTAGTATTACTGTTCAGCTGATGACTCAGTGTGTGAAATTGATCAGTAGATGCTGGTGATAAGGAATTTGTTGCTGCTGATGATGATGATGTCATTAAACAAGGTGTAGAAAGATTGTGACAATTCTCTTTCGTACATTGATGAGTCGGTGAAATACATGAACATAAATATTGATGAATAGGTGAATGAGGTGAATTGGAAGATGCTGGTATTCGAGAATTGGCGGATACAGAGTGATGATGTGGAAACTTCGACGATGAAATAACTGATGTGGATGAAGTGAATTGAGGAGTTGGTGATGCTGATGATGATGAGGGGGGTGGTGGTGCTGCTGGGGATATTGGAACTGTATGAAATGATGTCATCTCATCATCTATGGATCCTGAATAATTTTTATCATTATGATTACGATTATGATTATTACTATTTGTCGTGTCAAACTGTGACAATTGATTTGCTGTTGATATGGCTGCAATTAGAACGGATTCTAAATTTTCATTCGGTGATAAATTATACTTGCCAGTTTCAACTTCTTGTAAACGTTTCGCTTTAGCACGACGATTTTGAAACCAGATTTTTACTTGTGTTTCAGTTAATGTTAATTTATTTGAAAATTCTGCTCTTTCTATCAAAAAAAACAAACAAACCAATATTGACAATTGAATGAATTTTTTTATAAATTAATAGAATACAATAAATTGTCAAGTTTAACTTCATACAAGCAGTTGAAATCTATGATTTATGAAATGTTGTAATCATTGTTGATTGGAGTAAATAATAAGAGATTGATATTTTTGAGCATTTATAGCTGAAATGAACTTATATTTTTAGAAAATTTTGTTTAGAAACTAACTAACAAAAAGAGTGATCCATCATAAGGCTTTTAAATGAACTACTAATCTATTGAACTGTTGCAGAGGCATTAACCGTTGGACAAGTTTTATACACAGATATTATTCATGTTAACTAAAGGATAAGTTTACTGTACACAGCAGTTCGCTGCGCCCTATTATGTGGGAATGAAACATGGTCAACAAGAGGAGAGGATGCTCGTAGGTTACTAGTATTCGATCATACGTGTCTTCGAAGCATTCCTCGTATATCCTGGGGTCATAAAGTAAGCACATGCTGTAGTTAGGAAACAGTTATTAGGTAAGAATGGTAGATTTATTGATGAAGAGGTGAGTCTTCATCAGTTGAAGTGGTTGGGATATGTATCACGAATGCCCAACCACCGACTGCCTCGGGGAGAGATGATACTTGCTGTAGAAGTAGGTTGGTAAGAATCTAGGGATGGCCAAACTAAAACTTGCTCAAAACCGTGAAGTCACTGACAAGTGACTTGGTAGATGTAGGCTACCTGGTAGGAGTCCGCGTGATGATAGTAACCATTAACTACAGACCTTGAATGGCATGACTCAAAATTGTTTGCAATGACGCAGATACATCCATTGTTTGTCATCTCTTAAATTCTAATCTTCTGAATTCCTCATAACCATTTTTTTCTCCTTCCTTTTGAACTGATTCCTCTGGAATATGCCTCTTGAATGATATCTTCGATCCCTAGTTTCTCCGATTACTGCTAATACTTCTACTACCTCTACTACTACGGGATTTGAATTGACTGATGTACGGACGTACACATTTCTACGTTGTCGCTGACTAAATCACTGAGAGTTTATGTTAAATTAGTATGAAACATTGCATGGTTGTTTCATTTATCGCCGACTATGCAGATAGATAACGTTATCTTTCGTTATTTCACATATATAAACATGGCAATTTCAAGTAAGTTTTACGCTAAACTTTTCATTAAATTAACAAATCATCGAAATTACCTAATACAAACTTTTTAAAACAAAAAATATCATAAACATCATTAAAATTGAAATACTATTGTCCAAAATCTTCTTGTTCAATGTTCAATGTTCTGTTCAATGATTTCATAGTTAGAGAAGCATCAGTAAAACACAAAAACAAACAAGAACCACAGGACAGCTGGTCTGTTCTAGTTGTGGAATTTATTTACAATCCTTATTAAATGTTAAGTTCGTCACTTGATATGCTTGAAACTATTATGGGTTCACTTTAGACGATAAACGAGAATGAGACAATGAACCAGAGTCCAGATAGGCTACCCTGATCCGAACGGCTAAGGAGAAATCTTGATATAGTGTAGAAAACGTATTCTACAAACACCCAGCAAGCACAATACAATCAAGCACACAAATTTCGTTTATTTATATATCATGGAAACATCCTTGGGAGAGTCACAAAAATAGCACACTAAAATAACACAGCAGTCAGTCACAGCCAAGGATTTTCCTGGTGGGAAATGAAATCTCTAGGTCAACTAATCGGCCCATGAATAAAATCCAAAATTAAGACATATATCAAGCGAGTTATGGGGATCGAACGTCCTTAACGATAAATAACTTTATGCTAAAATCAATCATCATAACATAATCATTTCTCAAAACTGCTAAATTGAAATATTTAAGCTTCATATATTTTTTAAACACAATCCATCTGGGAAATTGAGCAACTGTGATAATGATGAAATTCATATTAACACCGTTGGATGCTGGTTCAGTGGTCCAGAGATTAGGCGTTCACGCGCGCAAGACCGAAGGTCCTGAGTTCAGATCCTACAGGAGTCGTGGATACGCACTGCTGATGATAAGTCCCATACCAGGACGAAACGGGTGTCTTTCAGGTTTTTAATGATGGCCTAACAATGATTAATTGATTGACAAGTTCAATATCATTATTTAGTTCTATAACTTATCAAACACTTTCAATCCTTAAACAATCATGTATGTTATTGAAGTATGGTTTTCTACCCATTTATTACAAAAACGAAAAATTCCTTTCAAGTTTATGACTATCGAAATGACTTATTGAGCTTATAATCTTTGATATCATTGATATAATCAATTGATCAATCTGTTTGGTCCTTCGAATCAAGCGGCTGTTAATCGAATGTGACTCGGAATGATTTAACATCGTGTACCTTATGTTTCAATGTCACGTGATTGGAGATAGTATACAAAAAAGCATGAACTTAGGTTTTATGCTCGATGATATTCACCATCTGCATTCTTGACGAAAATGATGCATTTTAAGGAATTTGTATCAAACAGATGAATAGCACGAAAATTAGTTTTCATCTTGAGAGAACTAATGCACCGAAGTCTTTAGTATTTAGTCACTAGGATTGCGTAGCTTGAAGTCAACAGACAAAAAATTTCAATTGTGGTGGTGTTTTGGTTGTGAAGCTTTCATTGTTCTTCTACTGAACAATAACATCAACATCACAAACTTCAGACAGGAGTGAAGTTTTCGAATTTCTTCAGCTATGACTCGTAGCTTGTCCTGTTAACTTTGATCTCTACCCTAACCCTAACAGAACAAACTACGAGTCATTCGTGCAGAAAGTCGACTTCTTCACTTCTCAATCTGAAGTTTGTGCTGATGATGATGTTGTTCAGTAGAAGAACAATGAAAGCTCTACAACCAAAACAACTCCAGCTCACATAGAACGAAACATCACCAGAGTCAATCATCCACCTGAGCTATGCATTTTTCCACACCATCTCAAAAAAAACTTAAATCTACCTTACATATTAATTGACATCAGTTAATATAAGATAAAATGATTTTTAAAGAAACTGTTATTGCCCACAAAAATCAAATCGAACCCCTTCACAATTGAACAGAATGAAAAGATCAATGCCTACAAAGTCTAAAGTTTATATTGAAGCTGTTCAATATTCAATTGCAAGCGAATTAGTATTTTGGGGGACGTTCGATCCCCACAACTCGCTTGATAAATGCTTTAATTTTGGATTTCACTTTTTGCCAACATGGGCCGATCAGTTGACCTTGAGATTACATTTCCCACCAGGAAAATCCTTGGCTGTGATTGACTTCTGTGTTATTTTAGTGTGTTATTTTTGTGACTCTCCCAAGGATGTTTCCATGATATATAAATAAACGAGATTTGTGTGCTTGAATGCATAGTGCTTGCTGAGTGTTTGTGGAATACACTTTCTACGCCAAATCAAGGCTTCTCTTTAGCCGTTTCTAGTCAACCGATCAATGTAGCCTACCTGAACACTGGTTCATTGTCTCGTTCTTGTTTATCGACTAAAGTGAACCTATAATAGTTTCAAGCATACTTAATGATGAACCTAACATAGTAACTAATGTCTTGCCATTACAAACAATTTAAATGTCAATCATATTCAACATAAATCTCTACTTATCATCATCATCATCATCATGAACGTTTTAAGGATAGAATCGAATGTCAAATGTCAATAGTCAATCAGAGCAACAAATGAAATAAAAATTTTCAACGTTCAATGACATTTAGTTGATCAGTGAATCAATTATAGATTGACAATTATTAATTAACATATATAGTAGAATAATATAAGGTTAGATATGATGGAGAACAAGCCACTCCCCCCCCCAGCGCGCACACACACATACTCGTCACGACCTCCCCCCACCTTAAGTCAACCAATCGTTTATATTTTGTAAATATACATGCGTACATCTGTACAATTCGATTAGGATGAATTCTGCAATTGATTACATAATATTTATTACATAATATGCACATGCGACTGTATTAAAAAGCCATTACGATATGATAATCAAAGTATTTAAAAAGGAGAGATTAATAGTTTATTATAATTGAAACATATTAAGTAGTATATAACGAGAAACACTAAATGTGTACACATAGACAATTGCCGATATTTAATGTTGGATGACAGAAGGAGTAGAAATATTGTCACTAGTATAATAAAATGGATACTTTATATATTGAATTGAATTAGTTGCATAACAATTTTTGTAATAATAATAGTAATAATAATAATAATAGTAGTATGCAACATGGTGACTAAATTCAATGTTCAACTTGACTTTTATTTATAAACTGATGATGACGTAATCGAATGAAAATGATTTCCTTTTGATAAATTGGTCAATACAACTGTGAATAAACAAATGATCATACATGTTTTATTTAAATAACGGTGATTTTTGAAAATTTATTCAAATATTATTATTACTATAAATAACAGTGTGTATTTTAATTTGATCAATGTTCAAGATTGAAATTTCATGAAACTCTATTGAAAAAAAAATATTCTCATCTTGATTGGATTGTTTCGATAAGAAAGCTTAATTACAAGTTTTAATTGAAAATTGAGCAATGATTAAGAGTCTTGAATATTAACAGGTGGAAAATACGAATGATTATAATTTAAGTTGAATTCATACAGGTTGCTCAAGTTGTAAACTAAGTAGAACTCTGAAACTAAATAGATAACTCTGCATTATAGTGTGGTGTGAGCTACTTATAAGTAGTATATGACATGAGTGTCAACGTAATGTCTGGCAGCAGAAGATGGGGGAAGATCAAGAAAGGAAGAGTTAGAAAACAATGGAATTTGTATGAAACGCATGAATAATGACAATGGATTGATGTTTTGCAACAGGAACAGCCCAGTTCGATATGATGAACTGATATTTTGCAAATGAACAATTTACGATATGGTTTTCTGATTTACTGAGTAACTCTGTAATTTTCGTTAAATACAATTCGGT